TAGAATCAAGAAACGCATGATTGTATAAAGGACCTGAACTACTTAAATAATAATTAACTAAGTATTTATTTTTTTTAACTTTTAGTTGTAAGATTGCAATAAAAGACAGAAACTAATTTATTTTTGAGTATTTTTAGGTGACATTTATTTTCTAACAATGAGCAAAAATAAGAATAAAAAAAAAGGAAGGAAAGAAATACCTTCAAGGTAAGCTGAGGTAAAGTATACTCAAACCTACTACATTTACAGCTCCTGGGGAAAGATTATGTAGCTACGTTGGTCTTAAAGAATTGCTCGGATGATATTTTGTTGGTTGATTTGTTGTAGTTATTTTTTATTCCTAGTATCAACGTCACGTGACTATTTTGGCCTAGGATGCCCATTATTTTTTTAAAAAGCCGTGATTGTTTTAGAGGTACTAGTTGAATTTGATTATTTTTTTTTCCCGAGTCAGAAACAAATATTATTTATAATTTATGTTAGTAATAAAAAAGAAAAATAAACTGGGGGGCGATAGTTTTGTCAATATGTATGTATGTTGTTCTGTTTTGTAGACTATTTATTGTATATGTTTCCATGTTGACAAAACATGTTATTAAAAGCCACGCGACTTTTTCCAAACAATCTTTCACCACTTAGGAGATAAAGGACATGTAATGTAGTAGGCAGAATTAAAAAGATACGTAACGATTTTTGTTTCTCAAGAAAGAATGTGATGAATTTCGCCATATATATATTTTTTTTTCCTTCGTCCTAAATCAAAAGAAAATGTAAACGTTATAATAAATACTTACGTTTCTATTTTTGCTGAAGTACAAATAGTTGGAGGTTATTTTTAAATATAAATAATAATACAAAGTGCTTAGCTCGACTAATTAAATAGCAATAAGCAAAGTCATATTTTAAATCTTTATTTTTTTTTATAAATATAAGGAACTTAAGGAAATAATTAGAACTATCAATTTTTAATATATATTTTTTTTGAGCAAATGCATATTCAGAAATATTTAAGACAAAAATGAATTGTAGATATTTCATAGGTAATTAATAAGAATGGTTCCATTAACGTAATTGTTATTCTGTTTTAGATATTAGAGATATGAATAAAATATAGTACTTACTCTTTAATCCTTCATGAATCTTTGTATCACACCTGCCGATACCACAATCAACACTAAGAAGTCGGAGGAAGAAATGAGTTGCTGTCTGGAAACACGTACCAACCACACCAGTAAGATGAAACTTTCCAGCATCACAAGCTTTGTTCAGTTGAGTAAATGTTAAACACGCCGCTCGCCTTTTTGCCTCGAATTTCAATGGATTGGAGATAAGCACTGTAAGTACTTAGTTAACTAAACCATTAAGTCTTGGCATTCCCCAAAATTGTATTATACTGTGAACTTTATGTTAAATAAATGTGTATTTTGTTCAATGGTTGTTTTGATTGAGAGAGAGAACCTGGTATAGCGAACCTAGCAAACAACTCCCAGCTAGGTCGCGACATATATGTCAAGACTTAAATAGATGTCAACTTGGGTTTAGATCAAATTGGGGAAAAAACACAAATAATATAATCCTAGTAAATAAAATATAATTCGAGTAAACCAATTTGATATAGGCCCAAGAGATCGGTTACCTGCATGACATCGACACAGATATGTTTTTAAATAACATTGATAATTAAACAATTAAAATACAACAATCTCGGGTCGATAGTCAAACGCAGGCTACCAAAGTTCGATTTCCTCATGGTCATAGCCGGGTGAATGGAATTAGATGAAAACAGATTGAACGACGTAACCGGCGATGACCACGAGGGATAGAAAATATAAAAATGTATGCTGAAGAGAGTCGGGGGGTTAGTCCATCGATATGAGTCGTATTATACAGTTAGTAATTCGCGTCATCAGTCCGTTAGCAGAAGACAGCGCAGACTGAAGATGTTCCTGTAAGTACTTAGTTAACTAAACCATTAAGTCTTGGCATTCCCCAAAATTGTATTATACTGTGAACTTTATGTTAAATAAATGTGTATTTTGTTCAATGGTTGTTTTGATTGAGAGAGAGAACCTGGTATAGCGACCCTAGCAAACAACCCCCAGCTAGGTCGCGACATATGGTGGCCCAATTTGATCTAAACCCAAGTTGACATCTATTTAAGTCTTGACAGTATAATTTATGGTATTGTGTGTTTTTTTACGTATTTGCCGTATATAGCTAATGATGAATAATAAGAAAATTGGAGAACATTTTATTTCAAGTAACTGTTACACATGCATTCAGTTGAACGCTCATGCTCTGATTAATTTAACTATACATTTTCGAGAAAATCCAAACATCACAGCTTTTTAGCAGTCAAAGTTGTGAGAAAATATTCCCAGCCACAAGGTCCATGACAACAATGCAATCTACGGTAGTAAATTATAGTATTAAAGAGATACTGCAACGATTGGACAGAATTAGATCGATAAATAATATTACCCATAATTTAAAAGCTATAATACGTTTCCCAAGAGAGCAGAAAAGATTTGAAAAAGTTCGTTCTAAGGGCCAAAACGATGCACCAATTGAAGCGCAAAGTGCAAATAATGAGGTGAAAGATATTGAAAATATATTTACTGATCAATACATTGAGATTATTGTGATGGACTCTTTGCAGGAAGCACTTGTTGTAACTGAAAAGCTGGGAATGCAAGTTGAAAATTTTTCATGGAACTCGACCACTATACTAAAAAATTCAGAAGAATAATCTGCAGTAAGTGATGAAAATGAATCTGTCATTGATGATTCACGAATAGCCGAAGAAAGTATTTTTGAAAATCAAGGGGAAGAGATAGATGATTTAAGAATAGGAATCGACCAAACTAATGAGCAAACCAAACCAAACCAAACCAAACTCTTCTTTATCGAGTCGATTTTGGATACTTTTTTCAACTTTCTGTAAAGTTTGAAACTAACTACAAATTTCGTATGCTCAATAGTATCAGGAATTCCCAAAAAATATATATGGGATTTCCCAAGAGGTATTCAAGAATTCTTTAGCTATTAGGAGGTTTCGTGTACAGAATTTGGGTCAGCTGTTTACCCCTCGTTACTTCCAAAAAGTGGCGTCTAACATCACAAATTCTGCTGCGGCCAGTATATGGGCGATACATGTCCTTGTATATTTTGTTGAAACCTTTTTGGTTTAATCGATAAATCACATCCATAAGTTTTACTTTTATTTCGTTGGATTCTACTGATTCTATGCATCAGTTGGCTTAATATAAATATTGCATCTACCGTGAATTTATTTGGGCGGAAACCTTGCTGCTCTGCAAATATTCTTAGCATAGTAAACTCATCGGCAAAAGTCTTGCACCCCCTTACTATTTCAATAAAAAATTACATTTCAAACTAATTTTTGCGTGGAAATCAATAGATGCTAAAGTTATGTTAAAAAATAACACAAAAAAGGGAAAACTTTCACCAAGTTTAATAATATATTTGCCAAAATACAAAAAATGCAAATTCCTTAAAGAAAAATGTTTGACAAAAAAGAGAAAATAAATTAATAAATAATAAATTCTGACAAAATTAAGGTTACTAATATAAAGTATTGCCCCCTCGATTTGTTATGAGTGCATCAAGTCGTCGGGGCATCCCCACTATAAGGTTGTTTATGATTTCTTGAGGTAAGTTCTGCCATTCCTCTTGAGCGGCAATGATCAATTCCTGGCGATTTCTTGGTGGGTTATTTCTGCGAAATACAGCTCCGGTGATGTAGTCCCAGACATGTTCAATAGGATTCATGTCGGGGGAGAGTGGAGGACAGTCCAGACGAGTTATTTCCCCTTCATTTAATGCTTCCTGGACCATCCTAGCTCTGTGAGGACGAGCGTTATCATCGATGAGAATAAAATTATTGCCGATTTCTTCTCGCAGTGGATAAATTATTGATCTGATTACAGTTTCCACATACAAATGTGCGTTCATCATCTCAGGAATATGAATAAGCTCTGTTCGCCTATTGTACATGATGCCACCCCAGAACATCTCAGTTCCTCCTTGATAAGGAGTAACAGCAAGGGCTGTATTCAAGCGATGCGGCCTCCCTGCCTCCCTCCCCACTCGCTGACGTAAGTTATCACTAATCAAACCTATCCTGGCTTCGTCAGTGAAAATTACGTTTCTCCACTGAGGTAATAACCAGTTCTGGTGTTCTCTAGCCCACTGTAGCCTCCTTTGCCTATGGTGTAAATTAATAGAGGGACTCGCAGTGGACGTCTACGCCGCAATCCAGCATTAGAAAGTCGCCTGGAAATGGTTCGGCTTGATATCACTTGGTGGTAAGTTCGTTGAAACTGAGATCGTAGCTCTCGAATTGAAACTGACCGATTTCTTCTGGCAAATTGAGCCAAGTAGCGATCTTGTCGTTCAGTCGTTACCCTTGTACTTCCCAACCTTGGACGAGTTCTTACATTTCCGGTGTCCATATACCGTTGTATAATTCGGCTTACAACACTTCGCACTAAATTTAAACGATCAGCAATTTGATGCCTGCTGAGACCTTCTTCATGCAAAGCGATAATTCGGGCCCTATCGAAGGCAGAAATTTCGTGCCCTGGCATTTTTGTCGCCTTTCACAACACTTACTACAAGATTGAACTCGAACTGAGAAACAAAATTTGACCGCAAATAGCAATATATATTCATCGATAAGGTTTTCTTTCATTGCTTTTATGATCTATTTTTTGTAGATACATATTAAGGTATTTGTACACATAGCCACAACAATATGCTATGCAAAGAAATAAATTTATCTGGGGGGTGCAAGACTTTTGCCGATGAGTGTACTTGTTATTTTATTTACTAGTATTTTTATTAATAATTTTAGTACACTAAGAGTTTTTTCCTCTTTCGTGTCCACCGAGAAGTATTCCCGGTATGTTTTTTTTTCAATTCTCGGCTAGGATTCCTAATCAAAATTAAATAAAAAGAAACAATGTAATATAACTTACCTTAATTGTCCATCAACAGTAGAGTGGCCAAATCTAAACGCTGCTGTAGCAAATTCATTAGTAATTGAGGGATTTATTGCTGGATTGTAGTCCAAAGAATATTCTTTTTCATACCCCAATCCAAGTCCGAATTCTCTGATTGCCTCTTCCCCTAAAATATTCAACAGATGCTAATTATACCAGGAAATATTTTATTATAAAAATAGTACAGTTATTCCGGTGGATAAAAAGTGCCGAGAATACCTATAAAAACAAACATATATCAAATTAAACTTTTTGCCTTTTATGCTACCACACGCCAAATATATCCTTTTTGATTGTTTTTATTGCCACAAGCCATATCCCACAATTTGTTTATTTGATTAAGGTAAAAAAATATGAACATAAAAGTTTTCTCTTTCGAAAAATTTATATATAATATTGAGAGTTTTCCAATTTATGCTATATTATTTTATCAAGAACTTTTTATAATTTTTGAATTAACAAAATATTTATAATTTTAATAAAATAAAATAAAAATTATCCATTTGTAATTTTAAATTTTAATTTATATTGCTAGAAAAGCAAATAAACTTTTGAGAAAAAATAACAATTTTCTAATACCTGTTAATTTCAATATTTTTTTTTTCATTTTTAGTGTTTATTAATAAAGATAATTTTTTTAAATTAATATAGTGGACCTAACTTTGGTGGATGATTCTACAGACAAAACCGGTATTCTTCCGGTAAACTATCCGGTATCCTTCCTAAATTTATTATCCGGCCGGATACCGAATAGCAACTCAATATCCGGCCGGATACCGGATATTCAAAAAGTAACATAAATAGCATGGAATAATGTACATAGAGTTTAAACTGCTTTTATTTAAAGCTGAAAATAACAGAAACTTCGAAAAAACAACTAAAAATATTCATTATTCACTTTAATGAAAAACAAAAATGAAAACTTCATATAGTGACATAAATAACTAATAATAAATGAAAAAAAAAACATAAAAAATACACTGATTCTTAAAATGTACTATCTTGTTCTTTTTCTTTTATCGAAGGAAATTTTAGAAAATTAATAGTCTAAATTAATAAGTCGCAAATTATGCTGAATAAAAACTAAACTTTCAGCGTTTGTCGGTAATAGGCGATTTCGCTTGTTTTATACAAACCAGGCAAACAACCTCTTACTAAAAACACTGCTGCAAGGAGCTAAAAGGTATATTTTCGCAAATTTCGTCAAATTGGGTTAGTGGTTTGCGTTATCCGACCACCAACTGTAAGGATCCCGGCTGTGATCAATTTGAACTGTTTTCAAGTAGTAGTCGATCTCGCTTGCAATTGGGGTTTTCTCTTGATCGCGACATTGACTATTATTTTTATCTGCGATTTCACTGAAACAATCGCGATGGCCGGATATCCAGCTGCCGCATCCGGCCTCTCAGCTCACCGAATATCCGGTATTCGGTATCCGCCCAAACAACTATCCGTTTCCTCACTAATAATAATAATATATTTTGTTTATTTTTAAGATCATTGGTTAACCGTTTTTCTTGAGATTTGGTACTACAAACATTTTAATGCCAAACCTACACACATTTTAATGCCAAATCGAATGGCGATAGTATAAAATTTCGTAACAACTCTGAATGGGCATTTTCCATTAGGGTAAAGAGTACTAAAAAGCATTTATTTCTTTGTTAGGCAAATTTCTATAACTGTAAAAATAACTTCTGACAAGCAGTGTCCGTTTAGGTTTAACGCAGAAGTGTTTACAAAAAATAACTATTTTATTTTGTAGATTTTCTTGCAGTGCACTGGCGAAATACCCATAGAGGATTTTTTTGGAGAGATGAATCCGCCACATAGGTATAGACATTTTTTAAAGAGTACTATGTGTACTTGTGGTACTTCTTTTATTGGTACAGAAATTTTCACACATGAATTAAGTAGCTTAGACTTTTTACGTAAAAAAGTTGCTCTTTGTTTAATTCGAAACGATGAATGGTTTTCAAAATATTTACGTTTAAAGATTACGTTGCTGCGATTTTAGTATAAGCAAGAAGTCATGACTTCACTAATACTAAAATCGATGCATCGTAACTTTTAAAGACAAATATCTTAAAAACCGTTTACCATTTGAAACAGTTGTTTGAAGTTTATTTGAAAAAAAAATCTAGCTTTTAATGTCATTTGTTAAAATTACGGTATTTAAAAAGATAAAAGAAGTACCACTAGTATTACTCTGTACTGAAATGGCAGGAATACCCTTTTATAGCAGTAACGCAATTTTACACTATCGCGATTCACTTTGGCAATAAAATATGTGTAAAAGTACTAAATTTTAAGAAAAACGGTTTACCCTTGGTCTTAAAAATAAACAAAACATGTTATTTTTATTTACCTTTTTTAAGGCTGTAACTTCCTAGGGAAGCATTTTTGGGCATAAGGAACTTCTTGTTTTATTTTTATCTGTTAAATCACCGATCGAATTTGGATACACTATTTCTTGACACTGTATATACGCAGTATCAATAAAGGATAGAATAAACTTGCTACATAACAAGTGATAAGAAAGTACCCAGTTATCTGAACCAGAGTTAAGCCCCAATATTCACTATGCTCCGATGCGTTTCGTCGATACGGTTCGCCATTGCTTTGATTTGATGCGCTAATTTGTCGATGCGATGGGTTGTGCTGCAGTTTGGCGAAATGTCGGTTTTTGGGCGAAAAATCAAAATAAATATCATACACATAATGGTCTAATTTCAAAACGAATTAACGAATCGCATTGACTAACGCATCGTGCATGGTCGCATCAAATGGACGCATTAGCGTATAGTGAATATAATATGCGGGTTTACATGTAGATGATTCTAAATCAATTAGCTATCTAATAAATAGGCTCTGACTGTTATAATTTGTTATAACTAACGTAGACAGACAGCTTTAACTTAAAAGACTTAAAAGACAATCATAGATGCGCATCAAATCGACGCATCAACGCATAGTGAGTATGCGGGTTTACATGTAAATGATTCTAAATCAATTAACGGTTAATAAATAGGATATGACTCTTATAATTTGTTATAACTAACGTAGACAGACAGCTTTAACTTAAAAGACTAAAAAATTATTAAGAAAATTAAAGCAGATAATTCAACATTATTAATTAATTAGTTATTTATTACCATGTGTCATATTTTACTCTCAGCTATGTTTTAGCTTCTCAAATCAACCACCTACTAGTTTTTTGTTAAATTAATTTAATTTTAGGTTAAGGAAGAGCTTAAGTCTTATTAAAAATTTTAAAATGGTAATGAACTCGTATACCGGATGCGTCTATAAAAAGTGGCTCACCCCCTATAACTTTTTTATTATTTCAGATAAAAAAATGATATTGGTATGTTGTTTAGAATGTTTAGGAGGGGAGTTAATCACCGCGACCTTATAGATCTATTGTGTGTTGAGATTGGTATGTTAGCATATGATATAAATTAGGATTGATTGACGGTATTCAATTGTTTTCGGTCGCTTCCTGTTTCACCGGAAATGAGTACAACTTTTGATTTTTAAATGGCACCCTCGGTATTTTTTTTATTTTATTAGATAGAAAATGACATTCTGAATCTAATGACATGTCATATGTCAACTTTTGACAGATTCGTTCAAAAACAAATTGTATTTTAAATTTCAAACTAGAGTGCCCAGGCTGTGTTAAAAACACTAACTTTTAATCAAGGAGCCTTGGAAAAATAGATTTGATCGTCTAATGTTATCAGTGTCTTGTCCTGACCGGTGAAAAGATGCCAAAATCTTATTTTTAATCATATCTCCATTTTTTCAATTGGAACGAGGGTGACTCATTAGCATATTTGGAAAAAGCATTTTTTACGAATAGATATATTATACAGACCGGACCACCGTAGTAGTAACATAGGCGGAACCGGACGAATTAACGTATACCCGTCCGCCGGATAAAAAGCAGTCGAAAAAATGCAATAAAATAAAAATAGGTCGATATGTGATAAGAATGTTTTAGAATTTGTATTTATTCGTGTTTTAATAGCCAAAACGAATACGTAGATTTTCGCGACAGTTCTCGTGTAAAATTTATTTTTTAAGTAAAATAATGGATGTTTATGAAGTTCGTGAGAAAATTCAAATTTTAAAATGGTATTTCCAAAATAGGTCTTATCGGGATCTACAAACAATTTTTCCACAAACTTTTGTAAACAGGCCAATTCCATCTTTATCTACTATATCAAGAGTTATTAATAATTTTGAAACACATGGGTGCGTGTCCCCACAAAAACTCAAAAAGCCTGATGTGTTGATTAATGAAAAACAGGAGTTAAAGCAAGTGTTCGTTTGTGCCAGAGCGGATCAAAATCCCACGTTTTCAAGTAATCAAATTGCTGAGGTGGTTGCTCTGCCCAGAATGCCCGAGAGGCTTTCCAAACTATTAGCCCTAATATGTTTAGCCAATGTCAGACGGGGATTTTACGACCGCCTAGGCTTCTGTCTAGCACAAGAAGGTGGTCTTTTCGAACACTTGTTATAACTTTTTTTTATTTAGGGTAATATTATAGTTTTTTTTGGGTTTATAGAATTTATTTATTTTTAGTTTTCGCTTGTAAACACATTCAAATAATAAATATTTAAGTATTTTATTTTAAATGTTACTTTAAGTGAAGGTAAACACTTAAAATGAAAATAATAAATACACGGCACTCCTCGCGTCATATTCCTAGTCTGTCACGACCGACCCGTCCAAGCACAACTGCAACTGCGTACTGCCTGACCAGTCGACTAGCCGGCAGTGACTCTCCAGTACGAACGCGAAACGGGTAAACGTAAATTCGTCCGGCAACTTGCTATGTTACTAGTAGCCTGGTCTTCTCTGTATAATAGGATGTCTATATATATAATAGACATTTCGAGTCAAATTGTCGTTATGAACCGCATATTACAATTTCAAATAAACCATATGCGAAGATCTTAAAAGTTGACATATAATATGATATGTCGTTCTATTCAGAGTGTCATTTTCTATCGAATAAAGTAAAAAAATACCGAAAGTGCCATTTAAAAATCAAAAGTTTTAGTCATATCCATTGAAACTGGAAGTGACCGAAAACAATTGAATATGTCAATCAATCCTAATTTATGTCATAACGTACCAAATCTGGATTTCTTATCTGTAAAAATAAACAAGTTATAGGAGTGAGCCACTTTTGCATGCAAGAGTCTTGCAAAAGGACCAAGATCAAGACTACCTATTAGACTACAAAACACAAACCAAGATCAAGGGAATCTTAGTCTTGCCTCATCATTAATGGTGTGAACTTTTTTGTCAATGTAAATAGTTTCTTTCTTTATTCTCTTTTAATTTGATACGCTAGTACTTACCTAGTACCGTAGGTAGGAACTCCTTGTAAATAATGACTTGCATTTCAGCTATAAGTATCTGCCTGGCTTCCAAAAACAGCTTTTCGTCGGTCCAAAGAGGATTAAGTGCTTGAAGACTACGTGCCAAGCGATTATGTTCCCTAAGGAACAACGTGTGCATCACTACTAATGTAACCATTTGATTAGTTCTGGTATCCCCTGCAAAAAATATAAACACAAAACATTAGTAGTAAGTTTTACATTGTAAGACAAACATTTTGTTTCTAATTGGTCATTAGAACATTTTTTTATATTTTAGAAATAACACTTCTAAAAGAAACAAGGGGTATAGTTTGTTAATTTTGGGGGTCTGGAGATAATATTATATATAGCGTGACTCACGCCTCCAAAAGAGTTATTATATTAGGGTTGTGATTTTCATTTCAATTTTTTACATAATATGGGGGCAATGGTAACAGTATTTTTGTCAACATATAGTGTGATTCAAATATATTTTATAACTAAATTATATTTTTAAATGGGAATATTTTTAAATGAAATACTATACCGTCTCAAAAATGGCCCACCCCTGTAACTTTTTTATTTTTTCAGATAAAAAAACGAGATTTTGTGTGTTTGTATATGACATAAATTAGGATTGATTGATGTATTCAATTGTTTTCGGCCATTTCCTGTTTCACCGGAAATGACTACAACTTTTAATTTTTAAATGGCATTCTCGGTATTTTTTTACTTTATTCGATAGAAATCACTCTGAATAGAATGACATATCTGATATGTCATATCATATGTCAAATTTTGACATTTTCTACAAAACCAAGTTAAAACACAAAATTGTATTTAAAATTTCAATCTAGAGTGTCATGGCTGTATTAAAAAAACTAATCAAGGAGCCTTAGAAAAATAGATTTGATCGTCTAATGTTTTTAGTGTCTTGTCCTGGCCAGTTAAAAGATGGCCAAATTTATGGTATTTTTAATCATATCTCAATTTTTCCAAATGGAACGCGGGTGGCTCATTAACATATTTGGGAAAAAGCATTTTTTTCACGAAGAATTTGGTACCACACATTTGGTATTGCGAGTCAAGTTGTCGTTATGAATAGCATGTTGCAATTTCAAATAACCCATATTTGAGAATGCCAAAAGTTAACATATATTATGTCATTCTATTCAGAGTGTCATTTTTGTCAGTGTTTTTTTTTTCGCTCTTTAATAGTAGGCGTTCATCATTAAAAGTGTCAAACCTATCTAATACAGTGTGGTGTCATATAATCATACAATAATTTATATGTCATTCTATTTGATACATCATTCTATTCAAAGTGTCATTTTCTATCGAATAGAGTAAAAAATACCTGTGGTGCCATTTAAAAATCAGAAGTTGTAGTCATTGTAGTCAAGAACTGAATAAGTCAATCAATCCTAATCAAAGACATTATAAAGATAGACCGAACATCTCATTCATAAATACTCGTTGGTAGTGTATCAAACATTCCAATGTGTCAAACAAGGACAGAAGAGACAGAGAAGTCTAAAATTCCCGACCCCGGCAACTAGGAGCATTTCGATTGTTCTAATGGCCAGTGGCGTATCGTTTTTTGGAACGAATTTAATTAGTAAAGTAAAAGTAAAATAATTAGTAAAATTTTTACTCTATATTAATATACTACATTAACACTTTTTCGTCAGATGAGTTTTGTTATAAGGTCTAATATAATAATACAATTAATATCCCACATATATTTATGTTGAAACGTTAGTAGTTTTCGAAAATCACTCCAACGTCGATTTTCAATTTAAACTTTCAGTTACTTCTATATAAACTTTCAGTTACTTTTGAATATTTACAGGGTGACTCAGGCTTCCGAAACAGTTCTATATTAGGTTTGTGGTTGGTGACTTTTCTTTCAATTTTGTTTTCAGAATATGGAGGCATTTAGGCACATTTTAGACATTTTTGTAAACATAGGTGGCCGGAACATATTTTCAAACTAGTTCAAAAGTTGTAGATATGCCATTAAATTTCCATTCCAGAAATACCTAGGGTTGCCACCTGTCCTTTTTGGAAAAGGACAGTCCTTTTTTGGAATAACTTGTCCTTTTGACTTTTTTTGACTTAAAAAGTCATTTTTATTTTCGTATTTTCCCTGAGAAAATTACCTACAGCAAACAGAAATATTCTTTTAGTCCAAATTTAATTAGAGATATTATAAAACTTATAAATAAATTTTTCTTGTTTAGAATAGGCAACATTATTTAGAACTTCCCGTTTAATCTGAAATGATAGTTTAGGTTTTAGTTTTACCTTTTTTGATCTTAAAAAGAACTTCAAAATTAGTAATTAGTAACGATTTAGTTAGTTCGCAATCGATAGCTTCCTGTGAAGTACTGTGTAATAGTTGTTTAATCTTGTATTATTAATAACTTCTTATACCTAAAATCAATATTTAATGAGAAAATTGTTTTTTTGAAAATATAAGACAAGATTTGACTCTTTCGCTCTTCTTCTTGTATTATGATGGCTCTGATACGAGGCGATTACCTTTTAGTCTCTCAGTAGAAGGCATTTATCATTAAAAGTATCAAATCTGTGTGCTACAGTATGGGATTTCTGTCGCATACTAATAAATATTACGTTTGCTTCATCTACGTTACAATCAAAGCTTGGTAGGGTTTGTATAAATAAACAAAATACAAGAAGCAAAAAAATATTAAGGCCTAACCCCTACATATATGCTTATTCTCAGCATTAAGTTCATCAGACTGAAGGGAACAGCCATTCGACGGCCGGTTTCGGAGATTTATCTCCATCGGCAGGCCGACTTTGCTGTAATCCTCAATCCGACAAACGAAAAGCAGAAAATAGCATTTGAGTACAAAACGTACTACTATGGCGAGTGCTAGATGGCGAGAGCAGCTAGTAGTAATAGGTAAAAAGCTTTTTTGGAGGCCTGGGTCACTCTGTATATAGGTATGTATAAAACTAGTAGCCTAAGAATTATTTACAGTTCGTCCCATTCTAAAAAAAAGGTAAACACACCGTACAAATAACTCTAGGAAGAGGTATTTGTACAGTGGTAAAAAATTGTCTAAGGCCGAAGGGGCAGATAAAATGTAAAAAAGGTCGGGTAACGCCTTTGTTTATTTGTTGAGCAAAATTCCTTTAGAATATCGTATATAATGACCAAAAATGACACAATTTTAAGAAAAAAAATGTCACTTTCTGGCTTATAATTAAATTTCAAATGCAACGTTTATATTCAAATTTGTTATGATCTACCACAGTTAGGTACTAATTGAGACGAATTATAATTCAATTACCGGCTACTACGTTCTTGTTTTAATATATTAATTACAAATATAATTAGAAATTATTTTGATTGTGAGAGGCTCCCTTGTGGGACGCCTATGTACAATGACGACGGAAATATAAAAATGTGAAAACAATACCCACCTGTGAAAAGACAAATTCGGGTAATTTGAGCTTATTTTTTCACACACTTGACACTGTCGTACCATATTGAATTCGCAGATTCAAAAGTACATTAAACAAAAACAAAAACCACCGAAAAACACTGAAAAGTTCACTTTCGTCTTGATTCCGACTTCAAACACACTGCAAGCTAAACGTAGTACGCTATAACGGATCAAGGGCCGTCGCGAGGGGTGGTGGGACGGACGGCTCATTTCATTCTGGAAGACGAGCAGCGACGTTGCCAATAGTTCTAGACGTTTCAGCACATTAAACAGTAAACATGTCCTTTAATAGTAACGCATATATCCTCTGGTTAATAACATATTATTACGCATGCTTCTTTAAAAATAAACTATTAATTTAATTACGAAATTGAAATTTATTGATATCCGGTAAAGGTTTTAAAGTCAACTTTTCTGTAAATCAAACTGAGTAGATAGGCGCAAATTTGAGATGTGGCAATGTCGCCTTCTATCTCAGTTGGTTTTTACAGTACGTAGTCAACCTCCGATTGTTTGATCGGGTTAAAATGTCTCATGTGATATCTGTTCTTACTAAATCTATGATCCTAATTTATGTCATATACTAGCATACCACATCTCGTTTTTTTTATCTGAAAAAATAAAAAAAGTTATAGTGGTGAGCTACTTTTGAGACGCACCCGGTATTCCTAGTATTCCATTTAAAAGAATACAACTTTAATTTGAAAATATGTTTGAATCACCCTGTATGTTGACAAAAATATTTTTAAAATGTGCGATACTCTTGTCCCCATATTATGTAATATTGAAATGGAATTCACAAACCAAAAACCTAATATAGAGCGTTTTCGCAAGCCTGGGTCACTCTGTAGCAACACTTTGTTGTCTGTTGACCTTTCTTACGATAGACAGACTTTACTTGAAGTAAAACATGTTTTTCTCTGGCTTTTATTAAGCCTGTCAGTATAGTTTACAACAATATTTTACAGACGAAAATGCCGTATATCAGTATATTAGAAAATATAGACTTTAATATTCTTTCTCATGCTACACTATAAAATATTTCTCTTTTATTAGTAATTTTCGCTTTATAATGTTAATAATAGTGTTCTTAAAATACTAATAGACTATAAATCGGAAACTCCTGTATTTTTATATAAATACTTATAAAGAATCATATCCTTGTCACAAACATAGAATATGCTGTCAATTTTCAGTCTAAGTAAGTTATTTTATTCGCTTATAAATACAACATTTAATAAGACCTTTTCTTTCAGAACATCTAAAGTATCTAAAGTAGTAGTGGGAACTATCGAATGAATACTATCGAAACATTCGATAGTTGCAATTCATTCGAATAATTCGATAGCTAGTAAAAAAACATTCGTTGAAAACTATTCGAATAAAAATTATCGAATAGATGCGTCATCTGCCTTGGAATATGGTATTCTAGTAATTCGGCAGCAAAAACCATTCATTTATAAAATTCATTCATTTATGAAATTCATTTATTCATTAGGATCGATTATAATAAAATATTAACTGGATTTTAGTTGTCGCCCGGCGACGTAGATTTCTTTCCGAGAAACCCGACAGCGGTCGGTGGCAATGCTATGAAAGAAGCCGGCATCTTTGATTTTTTGCGGAGTCATATAAAGATAAGGACAGATTATTTTTTTATTGAGGTGCTAGTATTTACAAAGAAAATACATTATGAAGGGCGCTGTTGCCATATATTGGTATTAGTTGATATTAGCAAAGAATATTATTGTTTGGCTTTAGTTAGTTAGGGATAGTATGTCTATATATTTTGCATTTTTTTTATTAATATTCTGTTGTTACACTGCAATAATACTTGTTATTTTGGATGTAGGAAAATGATTTTTAATGTTTTTAAGCAAAGACTGGTTTAATAAAAAAAATAATAACAGTAATAATTTGTTATACCTATTAACAACAAAATTTGAAATAATTTAATATAAACATTTTTTTTACGTAGTACCAAAATATAAACAACAAATTAGATGTCAAAATTATTTATATTAGATCCTATTTAAAAATAATATAGTCTTTAAATTTTTTGGCAATGTTGGTTTATTAAATAATAATAATTGCAGAACTAATTTGTTATATTAACATCAAACTTTAAAATCATGAAATATAAACATTTATTAATTTTCTAAGCACGCAGTGTAATGGAAGGAAAATATAAATAAAAAAAAAAAAAATAGAAATCAAAATTATTTATATTAGGTACTTTATATTACTATTTAAAAATAATATTTACTTTTACTGGCATTTACTTTAAAAAATAAATGAAATATTTCTTCGCAAAAAACTACATGTAAGAGAATTAGCATAAACAAAATACAAACATCGTTAACTTTTTTTAAATTGGCACGTGTAAAACTTTCAATTTAATTTTCACACCCCATAGTTTGAGTTCGATAACCATTTACTTAACCACATTACTTAAATATGATTATTAAGTTCAACTAATTCATATTATTAAAACATCTAAAATACAAATATGTACTTTTAAAATTAATTCTAAGTTCATCTCATCTCTCTTAAAATTGCTACTTCTCAAAATTTCCCATTAAAAAATAGACCATATATACCATATAAAAGAAAATAATTGAAAGATCGGGCTACGGAAAATCACACAAATTTTTCGAAAAATTTTGACACCTGCACACGCACACAATCGTCAATTAAAAAACTACTATTTTAGTATTTTAAATATTTTAATAAACGCAAAAATAGCACAGTATTTATAAGGTGAAGTTATAAAAATTTGAAGAACTAATAATGCACTGACGTACACAAAATCAAACGAATACTAAATTTCATTTATCAAAACCATTCGATAGTCGTGGCTCAACGATAACCATTTAGTTGTACGGCGAGGTTGTCACATATGCTTTAGTATACAAATGAATGAATGATTTTATTCGAATAAAACCATTCGATAGTTGAAATCATTCATTCAGTAACCATTCGATAGTCTAATTCATTCGATAGTTCCCATCGCTAATCTAAAGTACTTAAGTGAAATAATAGTAGTACTATTTTGCACTAAATAAAGTTAAAAATGTAATTTTATTACGGAAAAATATAACAAAAAAATGTCTTATACGGAAGTATTTTCGTATACCATAATATTTATAATTATTGTTGAGTTTTAAATCACTAAATTAATTATAAAAATCATCTTAACCCAAAACTTAAGAAATGAGAAGTGTCCAACCTGATTCAAAACACGCTGATCCTTGTTCCATGGTCAAACAAGCCAAAGGATCCTTTGACAGAGGAAGAAGTTCTCGTCCAAAATCATCGAAAACTTTCAGGGTCCCACCGTGGAAGCTACGGAGTTCTCTAGTTTGTTCTGGAGTTGATCCATAGACGGAAGACGCGTCCAGAAAATGGGTTAACTTGTTCATCTGGAAAAAAATTCAATATTTTTTTGTTATAGGACTACATTACTGGACTTTTTTTATATTGTACAGGGTGGGTCAAATTCGACGCTTTTAAAGGGAACACCCTTTTCTATAGGAGACCACCTATATAACCGCACGTCAATATCTGTTACCGTTTATGAGTTACGGGGTGTTTTACAAAAATGTGCATTTTTAACAAATCGCTGGAACTTTATTGTTATGGAAAATTTGTATTTCTATAAAAAAAACATTTCCAAAGCACCTTTTCACGTAGAATTTAATGGTTTAAATATAATTCTTTTAAAATTAATAATTTAAGAGTTGTTGATGATCTGCCCCTAATGGAACTCGAAAACATATTTTTTCAGCAAGACGGGGCACTGCCTCAGAACGCACAATTTATCAGCAAGTTTTTGCAGCCAATTTCGAGAATAACTGAATACCTAACCAAGATTCCAGCCGTTGGCCATCGAGGCCGCCGGACTTAGTGCCTATGGATTTTTATTTTTGCGGAAGAATAAAGGGTCTTATTTTTAAATTGCCCGTATGATCTAGACAAGAATTAGAAGTACTTAACGGTTATGCGGGAGCATCTTTCATCCCCACTGAGTTAATGAATTCCGCGAGAAATGTTCAAAAACGGTCCCGTCTGTCCATAATGGAAGACGGTCGACATTTGCTATTAATTTAATAGATATAGTTTAAATGTGTTGATGTTGTTAAATGTAATTTAAATTGTTATAAAATTCTGCATCTCTTATTGCGAATATTATTTTCGTTTTAATTGCTGCTCAAAGCTAGAATTTTTTTGCATTGCAGCCGGCGCCGTTCACAGCCTACACTTATTCAAAGTGAGCGAATTTTTACAAACTGTATATCTCGAAGAGGAATCGAGCACATCAAGTATGCAATATTTTTAGATAAATTTAATTAATAAAGGCAATTTTAAATTATTTTCAATGAATTAAAAAAATATAGGGTGTCCCTTATAAAAAAACACATTTTCTATTCATAATTTCGAAATTCTTAATTTAAAAAAAATATACTTAAACCATTAAATTCTACGTAAAAAGGTGCTTTGGAAATTTTTTCTTAACCCTTAACTGGTCCGGTAATAGATATGTATCATAAACGGTCCGGCGTAGTCTGTAGGACTACGCCTTCTAAAAAATTAAAAAAAACACACAAAAACTAAAAAATAACAAATTTTTATTTCATTATATATTATATTATGTATTATTAAACTAATCTAGACAAAAATGGGTTCAATTAATATAAACTTTAAGAAAATATAGTACAAAATAAAATAGCATACATATAAATTTGAAAAAAAACCGTATAGGTTTTTACTAAGCTTTAAAAAATGAAACTAAATTTCTGACAGTCATTACAATATAGAAATAAGTTTTTAATAGATACTATATATATATATAAAAAAATAAGTTATAAAACTGGAGTTAAAGAACAAGTTTTAGTTACAGCATGTGACAAAGTTCATTGTTTTCCTGAACATGTTTTACACAATGGATTCATACATTCTAGACATTAAAAATAATTAACTAAGACAAAACATTGTCTTTAACTAGTATAAGAACTCTAGAATAAGAATATCTCTGTAGGCGTGTTTTGGTTGTACAGGAATTGTAAGTATTCTACTAATTGTAAAGCGTATTTCTCGAAAGTATTTTATTTTCAACACTGAACATCATCTACCACATTCAAAAAAATACTTACGTTATGTTGTACATATGAAAACATATAAATAACATAAGGAACGATATAAAAGATATGAATATGTAATTTTTAATAAATAGCGATAAAATTTAAATTGAACAGAAATTGGTAAGGTTAGGAAAACATGAGAAGATGGAGAATATTTTATGCTCTATGACCAGCGTGAAAGTTTTCAATTTCAAATTCAGTTTGTATTTAATGTATGCAAATTTGTTACGAAAATGCTAGTAAGTCGTCCAACTGTTCATAAACTAACAGCTCCTGTTAAGATTGTTATAAATATCAGAATACAGGTAACTTTAAAATTAGAAACTGACCTGAAACTGACCATACAATAAAATAACATACAGTCAAAAATTTAGAAAACATTGCAGAAATGTCTTTAAATTAAAGATAGCTGTCATTTTATAGGCAAAATTATAGGGTAAATGTCATGGTAATTCTGTTTTCAATCATTGGTTATTTATCTCAAGTAAACTTAAGACGTAAGTTGGTAAGTAAGCTGTTTTTAGTAATAGGTTACTTTAAACCATAGATAAAGGAAATAAATTTAGATTGGAAAGCCCGTCAAAATATAAAATTGTAATAATATAATAATTATGATGTATAATAAAATTGTTTTGGATTGCGACCGTTGTACGCGATCTGGCGCTGCTATATAGCGGTTGCTAATAACAACCGCCAAACAATAACAGAAATAATTTTCTCTTGTCAAAGTCAGAATCTTCAAAAATTATAAAATCTTTCAAAATTAAAACCGTCCTCATTCAAAAATCATAGGCAAAGAGGTGAAAGAATAAAGTCAGACATTGCAGATAATGTGTAGTCCAACCACAACAACATCAAAAAATGGTCGAAAACCCGGGTTACCCACAAAGAACCCCATTGGAAAAAATGCAAATTTAAAGAGGCCGTATTCATTTTCAACAATAATAAAATCTTTAGCAATCCAAGTATGGAAATTTCAACAATATAGCAACCACTCATAAAAGTTTTATGAGTTGTGGGCAACCCGGGTTTTCGACCATTTTTTGATGTTGTTGTGGTTGTGATAAAACGCTCCAATTCATGTATTCTAAGTAGAGAACATCATGCCTGACTGCACCTAAATAAGTCACAACTTTTATAAGACCAACCTTTAAGGAATCATTAGTTTTAGAATTAGTACAAAAACATGATTTACCTGTTCTGAATATCCCAAAGTACAATCGTGGCTTGGAGCTAAGGCAGACCTAACAAAATTCATACATTTCTGTTTGAATGTACCATAGAATTGGTCCTCATGAGGCAAAGGAATCGGCATACAAGCGTAATGGGTAGATTCAGGCGGTAATATTGATGTTCCTTCCAAGTCACAACAGGATATGGCACTTCCATTAGCTATAGAAGATTAATTATATCAATTACTATTAGTACTAATACATTTTTTAGTAAATTTTAATAAATAGAAGCTCACAAACTTTACTTTTACTACATTCACGTCAAATAGAAAGGGTAAACTTGGTTGGATAATATTTTTAATAAGATTTGCTGGGTAATATAAGAAATGTATTCAAGTTGCGAAATAGCAAAAGTAAAACATATGTTTCTGTTATGAGTTACAATCTCTACACGGAGCAAAAATATATTTTCATTTTTATCTATAATTTTCTTTCCTTGCAGCCCAAATCAACATATGTTATTACATTTTTTTAATATATTAATAATAAAATTTTCAAAAAGAAACGTTTTATGTTAATTTTTATATAACATCAAGCTGATGATTGTCCTCGCCAAATTTATTATCGGTTGTCATTCCTCAGCCGTCTTTGACGCCGTTTTTTTACATCAAATGGTGATTTTTAAAGCTATTTTTATATTTTAACAAACTAGAAAAAAAACTGATTGAGGATTTTCCAATCCAATATTTGGCAACTTCTAATAATAATATGTAATATAATATTTCGTACCATAAGACATATCCATTGACTGTGTAAAATCGTGAGATATGAACTGGCCAAACTGCATCACTAGTAAGGTATAGTCGTGGTTTGGAGAATCTATATCTGATATTATGGTGGTACTTATTAATCTGGGACTTGGAAGAGGCTCTTCGTCTACAACTGAGACTCTGGGTGACCATATTCCTTAAAAATGAAAAAAATATCAATAAGTAAACAGTTCTGTGAAGGAAATCTATGTTGTTACTAAAAAAAATTTATACTATTCTTAGCCTTTATAGAAAAAAATTATTGCCTTATTAGCAAAAAACGAGAGAAATATACAGTATGTCTCCGGATTGTCTTTACAAGAGAAAGCACTTTTTTATTCTTGACATTTTGAGAAAACTGCATTCTTTATTAAAATTTTCGCTTGTTCTAAAATGGCCAATCCCGTTTATGTTTTTCGAAATTTCCATACCGTTTTAGAGAAAATAAAAAAAAACATGTAATGAACATATGGTTGAAAAAGCCTTAATAATCAAAAGGCGTTTCTATGGTAAAATAATTTGGATTTCATTTTTTGATAGATAATTATTATTAATTTTAATAAAACTCATATCTTTTGTTGTTGTAAAAGTGTTACATTTTCCGAAAACTAGTATCACCCTTTCCCTAGCATTGAACTAAATAAATTTTGTGCTTCTTTAACATTTTAAAACAGCAAAATATATGACATTAATCAATTAATCAAAATTCTATCAATAATAGTCGATCAAAGGATGAAAACGAAATTACATATCTATAGAAAATTTACTATAAGAGAATTACTATAGAAACGCGTTTTGATTTTTAGTACTTCAACCATATTTGTATACTATAGTATTTTAAAAAATTCAACCATATTTTCATGTTTTCTTTAATTTTCTCTAAAACGGTATGAATTTTTTTAAAGGGTTGTTGTATGAAAAGGTTTCAATATGTATGTCCCCGAATGAAGAAAGAATTAAAAATAATAGGAGTATCTTACCATCCTGGTAGTTAGGAGGAAGCAGCCTTGAATACGCCGTAAAAGGTGCTCCCCATGTAGGATGCGCTATGTTGTTACAAGCGCCATCTATCCTACGATATTTGTCCGGAATTAGAGGACAGGTAGGTAAAGGAATGCAATTTTGTCCGATAGCAGTTGGACGTAAGTTTTGTTGTATTCTTCCCTCTTCCAGTTCTTCGTTGGTAATACCTTGCCTAGAATAGAATATAAAAATATACCGTTGGGCCAAAAAAGGCGTTAAGTTGTCATGAAAATGACCATAATTAATGTTCTTCATATAATTTTGCATATAAAACGATCATGATCTTCACCACAAGCCAACTGTAACGTTCTTTTTTCAATCGTATGTTATTATTTTACAGTATAAAAAGCCCAATATACAGGGTGGTCCAAATTGTAATCGGAAAACTTTGGCATCATATTCTACCGATAAAAATAAATTAAAAAGTATAGCTACAAGTTGAACAAGTTAACAAGAGTTACGCCTTTTCGTCATAACGCCGAAGATGTACAAAACCTATTCATATTACAATAAGGATAGTTTTGTTTTAATTAAAAAAGTTAAGTAATACTGTGTTTGGTGCATGGAGGCCAGAGATTGGCAAAAATAATCGGTTTTTCAGATAACGGTTTTTTTTTCGATAACCGGATATTAATCGGTTATTTTTTCCCGTTCCGTTAAACCTAATAACCGTCCTTTTAATCCATAACCGAAAATCGGTTATTTCAGTCTTACCGATCCCAAATACAGCCTGTTTTTACATCTAAAAAATACAGGTGTGGCGTGAAAAATAAAAAAAAATTGTCTGTAGCGCCACCTAAATGTAAATTATCTATTACCGCAATAGAAGCCTGTCAGTTTACAGCTCTTTTTTCCATCATTCAAACTAACTGTCTTTTTATATTTTTGATTCTAAAAAATTATAGTAGGTAATAATTTTTTCAAAAGAAGCCGGTTATTACGATAACCGATTAATTGTATCAGGTTAACTGATAACGGTTATTTTTTTATATCTGCCCGTATTTAATGGAGATAAAGGTGAAAATGTTTATAAATAGCATTAACTCATAAAAAAGAAACGACATTAAAAAAACATAGACAAACAAATAAAAAGAGACTGACAAATCTCATGATAAAGAGTGGGACCGAACAATTTTTAAACCAATTAGCAGGACCATGGCGGGCCGTACGTCTTTATTGCTATCTTTCTTTATTATGTGTGCTTTATATGAAAAAGAAAGAGATAGGTATAAAACGTATCGTAAGACATTATCGCACATTCTGGCTGGCGGAAAATTTAAATTAACCATTATTAGTAGTATTCTTTCATTCTGAAACTGAAAATTTTCACTTAAACTGATTTATTCCCTATACCACGTAAAGGAAACGTGGTGTAGGGAATAAATCAGTTTAAGTGAAAATTTGCAGTTTCTTTCACAACGAAAGAATACTACTATTATAAGGGAAATTATAAAAAAAGCAAAAATTGTACTGTTTTATAAACATATTTATTTATACATAAAAATAAATAAACTTTTTATAATATAATAACAAAAAATAACAGTATTTATTCCACCCACCTACCAATTTTAAATGCAGAAGAACTGACAGTTGCAGGAAACTATCGGCCAATTTTTTTAAAGGGCATTAAAAATCTCATTTTCGAAAAAACTGCCTAATTGCAATAAGAAAGTGAATATCCAAGCAAAGAAGACTTTACGAGAATCATGATCCTGAACCATTTTCAAGTCCAGTTTTAATCCTAAAACAAAAGTAAAATAGGTATATTAATAAAGTTTCTGGTTACTATAAACCGGCTATAAACTACCTACCCAAGAAATGAAAAACATTAATTGTATTAATTTGTTATGTTAAGAGAGGTTCGAAATATTTTTGACACTACTACTTCTACTTTTTTCTTAATAAGATGATAAATATAACTACTTACTTTTATTTTACCGGGTGTCTTTAACATATCTATCAGAGAAAGGGGGCACCAATACTTATAGAAAATAGATGATACTGGCTCCTGCAGCAAATAAAATAACAAATAGTATAACTTAAAATTATAAGTAACAAAATATAAATACCTTACAAAGGAATTTATTCCCTGTCCATATTCAAAGTCAATAAAATGGAAAGTTTAGAAAAATAGGTAAATCACCAAAAGAAAAATTAACAAACATGACGAATTGTCATGATGTTGTCATCTTGGTTGTCCCGCCATTAAAAACCGGAAACGGAAATAAATTTGATAAAATTGAAATTGTCATGTCTATGTCATGTCAAATGTCCCAGCCGCCATATCTGAAAATTAGTTACCCAGGCAGCCACGCTGTTTCCATAATTTAACATTGACTTGACACTTCTTCTTGTATTTATTATTTTATGGTTGTCCCTCTCTTTGCTAATTTGCCAGTCTCTTTTTATTTGTTTGTTTATGTAAAAAACTAAATAAAAAATGACAGATTTCAAAAATGAAGTGGACAGAATTTCCTGAAATTGGAAGATATATTTCTATAAAATTACTTTGGTGCAAATTTAAAATAAATATGGGTTAATCTGTAATTCTATTTATCAGTAACAAACAATTCCAGTTTGAGCTAAACAAGACCTATATGGAGTCAAAATTAGAATGTAAAATGATGTCAATATGCAAAGGAATAAAACTTCAGAATCCGCAAAACAGCTACTTGGTCGAGAAACAAAAAAAAAATAACATAACAAAACACAACGGAACGTGGAGAAAAGACTATAAAGTGTCTATTTATTTAAATAATAAGACTTCGACAGAATAGTAATTATTTAGAAAATAATTTATGATAATTCCAAAAACTATTTATACGAAAAACAAGATAATTAATTCGACTCTAAAATTTTGTGACTAGTTCAAAATTATCTAAAAACTATCTCACCTGTCTTTAAAAACTCGAGTAGCTATAGCTATTTCCAAAGCTTTATCGGCTATGTGCATCACTTCGGTGATATCGGCAGGGTTGAATCTTCTTGAATTCCGAAAATGACCATAAGTAGCCGATCCAGGTTGCAGAATTGACGATTTTTTGGATAGAAGATTGGCTTCTTTCGTTCTCAGCCTGGACATTTCGGCCCTCGATTTCTGGCTTAGATTTTCCAGTGTCAAGAAATCTGCATGGAAGTTGTGATGGCCGCGACCTTTGCTGTGTAATATTCCTACAAATCATGAAAAATATTTAAAATAACTACTTGACCAGAAAAATCTACTACTAAAAAAAAATTAACTAACTACTAAAAATTAAAATTATATTCACTTTATTGAAGAATAATCTAATAATTCACGAATATAAATTATGCAGCGTCTCTTTATATGAACATAGATATAATGGCAAGAACATACAGGGTGAGTTTCCTACGATGTTCTCTATGGGTTTCTCGGTAACTACTGGAGATAGAGAGTCGGTTAAATGGGGAAAGAATTGCAGTTTCGTGGGGTCATAAATATGCGCCTTTCAGATTTTTGAAAATGTTCATGGCTTACTAGATATTTGGAAAAAAACAAATTTTGGCTATTTTAAAAATTGTCCAATTTTAGACAAAAAGTTTTCAGATAAAAGTTGTAGATAATCACATCCCTAATGAGTTTGTGTTCTCCTATTTTTTCTAAAGCCTGTCATTTTTGACATATGACACAAACATATGTTTTTTTTAAATGGAAACCATAGTTGGCCATGACATCATAAAAAGCGCCATTTTTTTAAGCTTCTCAGTGATATAAGTTTATTATCGGAGAGGCCAGAGCAATTATCCGTTTGGCTCAAGACAGGAAGGAGAAGAAGCGATATAAGATATAATATTATGCTTTTTTCGAAAAATTACAGTGTTATAGCCAGTTCTTATCTTTTTTGACTAATCTCACTTAGTTGGCATGGTATTCATATTCTGTTATGATTTACAACTTATAAAAAAAGGCAGAATATATTATTAAATGGTTCTTTACAATTTACATTACACAAAGTAAAACTTAAAGAAATAATATCACTACATACACTCTAAGTTATTTTAGAAAATGTTCCGCCATTATTTTGAGTACATAAATGCATCTTTGCTTGTTAACCATACCGCATAAGCCAAAAGCAAATGCATAATGTAATTGCAACAATTGCTGTAAATCGTTACTGTCTTCTTCATAATCGAATATATCCAATAAAGAATAACTGATTGAAATAATAATAAAGGGTTATTGTTCCAAATCATATAGAAAATACATAATTTATAAATTATTTTAACAATAATAGGAACAAACGGCACAGTCAGCTTCTTACAAAGTCGAAGGTGATGTTGAGGCCAATAAAAAAACGTGCAGAATAAAGGCAAAATGAATCAAAAAACATCAACATCAACTGTCATGAAGAAATACACATCAATTATAAAAATATGATGAGAGAACTTTTAATTGTTGTTTTATAGTGATATGTTGTACAGTTTTTAGAAACCTGTATTAAAAATTAATATGAAATTATATATTTAAATTCCTACCTAGGAATTGACGTAGAATGCAGATCTAAGATATATTTTACGAAGTCAATATCAGTACTAAAACATTAAATTCTTTCATCCAACAAGTAAAGCAATATCTCTGTAAATTTAGAAACAAGAAATGCATTTCTGTGACGGAATAACTTTAGTTAACTAAGTTTAGCGCCATTTCAAGCGTTTTTATTTATTGCTTTTTTGAAATATCGAATGCGAATATTAAAAATTCCGAAACACTGATATAATGGAAGGGTTTTTATCGGAGTTTTCTCAAATTGCCATTTGAAGCTCTAAGGTAGGTAATATTTATACCAAAAAATATATACTGATTTATAAAAACAAATATGAGTCGTATACACTCAGATGCAAAAAAACGCACTGAAAAATTTTTGGTCAAGTTTTTAAATGTTATATTTTTTTTATTTTTAACCCTGTTTTCTTGTTTTTTTAGCAAACTGTATAAAAATACATCAACTTTAATTCGTATAATCAATTTTTTATAAACTTTAGTATTTGACTTTTAGTATAAACTTTAGTATTTATTATACAGGGTAACTCGAAGAGTACTGTATTTTTAAAACACACTGTACAATAATTTCATGAGCAAATTTTCATAAAACATTATTTTTCGGTCAGAACCATGTCTCTTGATTATTTTGTTCTTTGTCTCATTTCAGCAAATGCTTTGGCTAATTTTTAAGCTAAGAGCAAAATAAACTTGCCACAAACATTTTGCAATTTTTTCAATTATCCTTACTTTTTGATGTTATTCTTCACAATAACGAGGTGGCTTTGGCGATTATTGTTGCATACGATTGAATATGGGTTTTAGTATCAAAGATTGTACAAAAGTCATTGATCTTGTTGAAGATGTTGCAAGACCCGATTTTAATTTTATATTTTTTGTTTTTAATTGGCTTATTAAGTTTTATTAAAAAAAACAAAGGTTAAAAAAGTTTGTAAATAGATCAGGATAACCAAATTTAACAAGTCATTGCATTTTTTTATTTAAATCTAGATAGGTAATTTTTTTTTCCGAGAAATCACCCCTTAAAGCTCTTGGCATATGCCTTAAAACATCCTGTAAGCTATTATTATAAATAATTACAGATATTAAAGTAAACTTAATTTTTTGGTATTTGTTGGATCAGGTTTCGATATTAAAGGAGATATTTTTAATTTTCTGAAAACTTTTCGAAAATATATGCAATTTTGTCTCCTATTCTATTCTCCTTAATATTGTATTGGCATAACTCGCATTTTAGTATATTTATCGGAAGGGAACAAAATAAAAAAAAAATCCTATATTAAAATTGTAAATTGTGTAAAATACTTCGAATCCAAATACTATCACAACTTTGTTACCGTGATAGATACATTAACATCACTTCTTGAGATCAAAATTTTCCCTGTAGAAAGTTCAAGTGACCCCAGTCATTTTGTGTGACGACTCATTTTTTCGATTTTTCAGTTACTTTTTTTAAGTGAGAGAGGGCACGATTTATAAAAGTGCTGGTATATTTAGGAAAATTGACATACAGGGTTAATATTAAATAAGTGCAAATATTTTTAGGTAGTATATTCCGACCCCAGAAACACGTCTATAAGTTTTTTTCGCGAAAATAATTGGAATTTTTAGAAAAAAAATTTGGGACCTTTTTCGATTTTTAGTTAAAAACATTTTATCTTCATAATATGGCAACATAGGGAGTAGATTAAATTTACAAGAAAAAAAAACAGAAAAATATCAAAAGAATTTCAAAGTAAAATTTCTCATTTATTTTGGACTTATTTGAAAAACGGTAAAGAGGACATATATGTTTCTTCATCGAGATTTAACAACCCTGAAAATATTTGCACTTATTTAAGGCTTACTCTGTATAGTCATAAAATTGTACTTTTAAAGGTTGATTCTCACTATACCTTCCATATCAGCTCCCTTCCGTTTACATAAAATATTATATCATGTAAATGAATAGGACAATACACACTATACGTTCCTTTTCCCTTTCCTTCTATACACTTTTTTGGCGGATGGACTGAAGCGTATCGTAAAAAGTGTTGTCAAGTTCTTACATTTGGACCAGCTCTGTTAACATTTTCCTGATATTTATTTATTCTTTCACCTCTTAATTAAATCTACTACCATTTTCAAAAGATACAAATTTTTAAAATAAAACTTTCGTAATGATATAAATTGTACAATAAAAAGTATGGAACTGATACGGAATGGAAGCTTACTTATAGCATCAATACAATAAAAACACGGAACGAATACGGACTGGATATATGGAAGTGAAACGGAAGGTATAGTGAGAATCAACCTTAACACTAACTTATCAGTAACTGTTATTTTGACATAATATATATTTTCTGGTTATGTTCTAAGAGTGTTATACATCAAGGATACAATCTTATGGAAAAGATCTTTTAAACAAAATTTCTTATATATTTTTTAATTTACCTGTGTGATTTTAGGCACTGTCGAACAGTATATGCCCTTCCTTCCCGCCATAGTTTCACGTACATATTATTTTTATTCATTACATATTGTGGTGAGAAATCAGAGGCATACATTTTGAATCTCCATTAGCAATACTATTCTCCTGATCAACTTCATTCAAACTTCTGTCTGAAATATATTTTTTGAATCAACTATACAGACATTATCAAGATTAATTGATATAGCTTTGAACAAAAGTATTTAAAGATGTTAAATTTAGTTACTAAATAACATTTTTTTTTTTTTAAAAAACCATGTGTCCATTTACTTTTAGTGATTTTTTTTTAAATGTACCTAATTTTGTAACAACTTCAATTTTCAGTTTTAACATACAAAACCATTATAAAAAAATTGGTATTCAAATATAAACTTTTTCAGCCATAATAAAAGGAAAGTCGTATTATTTTTTACTTAAAATAATAACATCATACTAACTATTTAAGCGTAATTAACTGTTTTCTTTATTCAATTTAAATAGGTTTAATATAATAGTTACCTTCATCCTTTTCATTAGCATGAAAAAAGTCATGCTCTTTTTCATGAGTCCCACGAGTTAAAATTTCTCGTGGATGCGACACCACATGGCAATAGACAGCGCAATATAGACTTGTTAATGTTATAAAAACCTCAAACAAATGCATTTCTATAAAGGGAAAACAAAATAATTAAGTGCTAGTTTACAGTGAATATTAAGTACTTACTTGTGTGATAGATAGGCCAAAACTGCTGAATTATTGCTAGGTATTTGTAATTTTTTTTTTTTTTTTTTTTTATTTTTAACATTTTTGTTTCATTATTGTTTTAAGCAACGATGTTTTTAGACGAAAATAGAATTAGATATAAGCTTAATATTGTATCATGTCACTATCAAAATTTATATTTAATATTTTTTGGTTTCTATACTACTGGGTGCTTTGAAATGAAACCATCCCTATAACTGTTTTATTTCTTCGGGTGAACAGATTTGGTATGATGGTATATGACATAAATTAGGATTGATTGTTTGTGGTGTTTTTTTTTTCGGTCAACATTTCTGGAAATAGCTTCTAACTTTGATTAAATAGCATCGGTATTTTTACTTTATTCGATGAAAATAACTCTAAATAAGGCCGTACCATATGTATAACGACGTATCATATAGTTTGAAATTATAACTTGCAGTTCGTAACGAAAAGGTGACTCGAAAATACCAAGTGTGTGGTATCAGTATTCGTAAAAATGCTTTTCCAAATATGCTAATGAGTACCTCGTTCATTTGAAAAAAATTGAGATATGATTAAAAATACGATTTGAGCATTTTCTAACACGCCAGGACAAGACACTAAAAAAGACATTGGGCTATAAAATCTATTTGAACTCCTTGATTGGGGATTCAGTGTTTTTAGCATAGCCATGGCACTCTAGATTGAATTTTAAAATACGATTTTCATTAAGCGAGAATGTCAAAGTTGACATATGATATGTCATTTATTCAGAATGTCATTTTCTGTATCCGGTAAAAAGGTACCGACAGTGCCATATAAAATCAAAGTTCTAGTCATTTGGGGTGAAGCAGGAAGTGACCAAAAACAATTGAATACGTCAATCAATACCTAAAATTAATGTCATTACTAACATGCAAATCTTCTTTTTATCTGAAAAATAAAAAAAAACTTATAGGGGTGAACCACTTTTGAGACGCACCCGACATTATGAAGACATGTTATTATTTCTTATAAAGTAGAAATTTTGTTCAGATGGGCCGGGCCGTCGCATGAATCTTCAACCGTAATGGAAAGCACTAACAGGCATAAATTTTAAAATGTGAAAAAAATCAACAATTGTAGTGTTTAATTTTAGTGTGTAAAAAAAATGTTAGAATACACAAATATATTGATTGATATAAATACAGTCAGGCAAAATTAGATGTCAACAAATGAAATAATTCATTGCATCGTCGAGCGGGACATAGGAAATCTCATGTAAATTTTAATGGTGTCAATTATTGACTTCCCTAATTATTTTAGAGAATAATTCTATTTAGGTTTATTGAAGAGCACTAAAACCCACATTCAAACGAATAACTTTAGATATTGATTAACCGTTTACGAGTTATCGCCCGATTTCTTTTAAATATTTCTCCTTTCATATGGCCCTGTTTTTATTTACTTATGAGCACAGTCAAGGTAAAAATAACTGTCAAATGAAGTTGTCATTCAAAGTTATCGATTTAGTGCTTTATTATTGAAAACTCATACCTACATCGAAAATGCCGTGAATTACACTACCGAAGAAAAAAGTATTGATGATTAAATGGTATTATCAAAGGAAATAGTTATCAAAAGGTGTCGGACATGTTGCTGCTCTGTATCCGAATAGACCGATACTTGGAAAATCTACAATCGCAAGGAATATCCAGAGATTTGAGACCAAGGTACCCTAATAAATGACTGCAGATGTGAAGCAAAGCGGGAACAAAGAGTAGATGCAAGAAATGATACCGACTTGAAGTTTTATTGTGCGTGAAGAGAACGATGGAAAGAATCGATGGAAAGATCAGCACAAAGGAAACTTGAGGATGAAATAAGAATAATCAGCTTTTCCTTCAAATCTGAAAAGCACCAAGAGCTACGAGATGGGGACGAGATACGGCGGCAGGCGTTTTGTTTTGATATGATGGAAAGAGCAAACACGGATAGGGAATTTTGAAAAAAAAAACATGTTTCACTGACGAATGCACGTTTACCTTATAAATAATGAACCCAATGTTCAAAATTATCGATATTGGAACAAAGAAAACCAACACAGGTTTGTCGAAACAAGGACGCAATATCCACAGAAAGTAAATGTTTGGGCAGCGATATTCGGACACAATATTATCAGGCCATTATTTCTTACGCAGAAATTTAAATGCAGAATATTACTTGGAACCACTCGAAAATCATATTTTACCTGCTTTACATTAGGCCGCTAGTGAAAATCAGGAAGTTTGGTACCAAATGGATGGCTCCCCGGCACATAGTACCCTAGCTGTTCGGGAATATTTAGACGATAGTTTTAACGCAAACGTTATTAAAGCCTAAATCATACGGTAAATTGGCCAGCAAGGTCTCCTGATATTTCGCCAAATGATTTCTTTCTCTGGGGCCATTTAAAAAACAGGCTATACAAGGATAAAAAATACCCAAATCTGGAGCAGAGTTAAAAATGCTATTTCTGCCGAATGCAATAGAATTTCAGTTTACCAACTAGCGAATGTAAGAGAATTTTATGATCGCCAGGGTTATTGCCTAGCAGTCAGGCAGGAATATTTTGAACATCTTCTTAAATCTAAAGTTCCAACAATTTAATAGTACCTAAATTAATAGTTATTGAATATTGTAATAATACTATAATTAACCTTGTAATTGATTACTTTATTTACTTTATTCGTATTAATTTGTATTTATACATCTTTAAGATTTCCGATGTAGAATGAGTTTTCAATAATAAAGCACTAAATAGGTAAATCTCTGAAATGACAACTTCATTTGACAGTTATCTTTTACCTTGACTGGTGCTCATAAGTAAATACAGGGCCATGGAGAAATATTTAAAAAAGAAATCGGCGATAACTCGTAAACAGGCTAATCAAAAATATATCTAAAGTTATTCTTTTTGAATGTGGGTTTTAGTGCTCTTCAATAAACCTCAATAGAATTATTTTCAGATAAAAAAAACGACATTTGGAATGCTAATATATACCGGATGTGTCTCAAATGTGGCTCACCCTACTTTTATTTTTCCAGATAAAATAACGTGATTTAGTATGTGAGCATATGGCAGTGGGATTGATTATATTCAATTGTTTTCGGTCACTTCCGATTTTGCCGCAAATGACTACGACTTTTGATTTCGTGGCACCCTCATTATTTTTTACTTTATTTGATAAATACATTCTGAATAGAATGACAAATCATAACAATAATACGAAACTTGTTTGCAGTCAAACATTGTTCTCTTTGTGAACCTCTTTCAGTGCGCAGTGCATGTACAAGCTAGCTTAATAGCATTGGAATATTTGAACGGGAAAGCGGTAGTAATGGCTCTTATGTCCCTTAAGTGTTAAGGATATGAGTTTTGTTGATGTAAATAATAACTGTTTATATATTTTGGAATTAATTTATTTCTGTTTCTAAAAATATTTTAATTAAAAGAAAATATGTAAAAGGCAACGTTGTCGGTCAATTTTTTTTTTTGTTATTAATTGTTAAAGAAATAATATTAAAAAAACATTGTCTTTAGAAATATTTTACAAAAAATCCCTCTTGGTTTTCTTAGACATAGAGGGTGCTTTCAATAATGTAAAGATTGAGGCGATCAAAAAATCCATGGAGGAACTAAAGGTAGAACAGTTAACCATCTACTGGGTGTTAGAAATGCTAGAGAACAGGACTATCACATCGGAGATGGGAAACAGCTCAACCAAAAAGAGCGCAACAAGAGGCACACTACAAGGAGGGGTATTATCACTTCTGCTGTGGCTGATTGTAAAGAACCCGATCCTGACCTCACTGACAATGAAGGGAATTAGGATAAAGGTATATGCAGACGACGTTGTAATACTGATCGTTGCCAAAGACTTGCAGACGACCAGTGACATTATGGAATCTGCTCTGAAGAAGTTAACGGAATGGGCAAAAATGAATGGTTTGGGCATCAACACAGACAAAACCGAACTCATTCTTTTTGGCTAAGGAAACAAAATATTTAGGATCATTATCATTCTGGACTCGAAGTTTTCCTGGGAAAGAAACACGGAGGAAAGGATGATAAAGGGAATAATGAATTCTATGTTTATTGGACAAGATTAAGATGGGGTCTGCAACCGTACATTATACACTGGATGTAAACTGTTATAGTTAGACCAATCATTACCTATGGAGCACTAGTATGGTGGGAAGCGGTACTTAAAAAGACTTAAGCCTCACAAAGGTACAGCGATTAGCAGCTCTAGGTACAACTGGAGCAAGGAACAACACAGCGCGTGGTATATTAATGTATTATTTTGCAGCAGTACAATAATTTTTGAGGTAAAAGTCAACCAAAAATAACGCAATTTCATGATTTGAAATAATAAACTTGAACTTTTATTTCAAATTTTGAAAAAAAAACATTTTGTCTTTGATTTAAGAAATTAAAAAAGATAATGAACTCTTACCGTTTGGGGGTAAAAATTGTTGTAAGGCTTTCCCCATCTTACTGTTGTAGTGGAAATGATCGTTAAGGGCAATTACTGGGTCAGTCATTATTCAAATTTAATACGCATTTTCAAAATATTACAATACTTATTTTTGACGCTTGACATAAATGTCTATGATAACGTCAATTCTAAATATAACCCTAATAAACATAGTTTTTTTAACCCTGTACAAAAACTGGCAAACATGTCACTGTCATTTGTCAAATCCATTATTCATTATTAAACATTATACAACACCAAAATTTTCTAGTAAAATGGCGACTCCCGATTCCAGCAGTTTCTTTTATAACAGTATGTTAGCCAAGAGTCTTGTCCAACTATTACCCAGCCATGGTAACGTAATATATAACTTAATTTTATTAAATTTAATAAAAATATAATTGGTTCTTCTAGAAAAACGTCCTTTAAGAGACTGGTTTACTAAACTCAACGAACTAGTGAATACACCGAAAGAACTGGAGTTGAGGGACGAGTATATATGGTTCATACTTATGATGTTGCAGTGCCAAAAAATTCGAGAACCGTTTGATAATCCTCCTCCAGCTCAAATAGGGGATCTCAGAGATATAGTTGTAAGTATGACTGTAGGTCTCTATTCTTCTTTAGATTACATTATCGATACACGAGGTACCGATAATCACACAAGAGTAAGAAAAAGGCAGATGAAATTGTCAAACAGGGTTCACCAATGTCATTCATAGGCTAAGAACAATTACCATGTATAAATTGAGTAGGGGAGATCGGGGCAAGTTGGCGAAGTAAAATACAAAAGGCTCCAAAACATGAACTAACGGGTTTAAAAAAAAAGATCCCATTTCATCTGTTAGTACATTTATTCAGGTACATAATAAAACATAAAAAACAAAATAAAAGTATACTCTTGAAAAAATATAAAGAAAAAAACAAAAAAGTGCATTTTCGTCAACTTGCCCCAGTACCGGGGTAAGATGACGAGCCTATAGGGGCACGATGACGATTATAAACAAATGTCGCAGGTATATGTGCCATCTTTTTCGTAGGCTGTGCACGACTCGTGCCACCAACTCTCGCACGTGTTACATTGAATCCAGTCTTCTGTAGGAGGCTCAATATAGGATTCCTGGCAGCCAGGACAAAAAATGTCATTAGTTTTCTTCTTCTTTCCTACCTGCTTTTCACGATTTTCTTGAAATACATTTCTCTTGACTTTCACAGAATCAACCTTCCTTCTTTTAATTTCTTTTAAGTTTTTTTCATTGTTTTTTCTTTCCTGTTCTTCTTTGTTGGGTGTTGAGGTGATAACAGAAGCCCTTTGTTTAATTCTTTTGGTAGTTTTTATGGGACGTGTATATTTGGGAAAGGGTCTCATTTCAAGTAGCGTAACTCGACTATCAACATTAGAGATTGTTTGACTGGAGCTGGATGAACTCATAGTGCCAAGAGCTTGTGCTTCATTGTTTTTTGCAGATTTTTTTTGCTGTAGGCCTGAAGGTCCAGGAAGGGACAAATTCATTGACCTTGCCGGCTGATTTTTTTTGGAAAGCAATGGGGGTTCAACATCTGGTGTTTCATAGTTTTTATTCTTTGCAGAATCCATTTTATTCAATCCTGAGGGTCCTGGGAGAATTAAATTCACAAGCTTTTCTGGCTCAGTTTTGTTGAAAACCGCTGGTGGTTTACCATCTTGTATTTCATTGTTTTTTGTTTTGGCTTGATCAATTCTATTTGAGCCTGAAGACCCAGGAACTGCTAGTGGTTCATCGTCACTGCTTAAGAACTCGTTGTCCGCAGTTACGTGCCTCTCACTCACCATAGAAGGCGCAAAATCGGAATCTCCAAAGATTTCAGCATTAAAAGGCTCAATGCCGCAAGCGGAAAAACTTTTTATAGCTGTTCCCACAGTTGCAGCCCTTAGATAAGCTTGCCCGAACAACCTACCAACTTCTTTATCGGTGATTTGTTTTCCCGGGTGGTTTACCAAATAGTTATCACAAGTCTGGCTATAGAAAGTCTTGAGAGGTCCAAAAAACCCAACGTCCAACGGTTGTAGGCGGTGGGTACTGTGCGGGGGTAGTCCCAACATAACCACTCCATTATCCCTACAATAATTGATAGCTTCCAGTGAAGTGTGAGACGAGTGATTGTCAACGATCAACAATACGGGTGTCTCTGTGTTTGGGCGAACAAATTTCACGAAATGTTTAAGGTATAGGACAAAGGCTTCTGTATTCATCCATCCACTGGGTTGAGCTATACCAGCAGAGTTTGGAGGACATCCATTTAAAAGATCTGGTCGCATCCTAACTCTTCCAAAAATAAAAAAGGGTGGAACGTAGCTCCCTTGGGCGTTCATGGCACATACAACGGTGGTGTTTTTTCCACGCTCACCACTAGCAACTTTTGATACTCTCCTAGAACCAGTGGGCGATAAAATCTTTGGCTTTTTATTGGGAACCGTTGATAATCCCGATTCATCTGCATTATAAATGCGGTCAGCAGTAAAATTGTATTTTAATCTAGTTTCTCTAAGTAACTCAAAAAATCTAGTTACTTCAACTTTATTAAATCCGAATAATCGTCCCAGCGAAGTCGACTCTGGGGTCCTAAGACTTATCCTATGTCTACTCATGAACGACTTAAGCCAGTCCGTGCCTGCCAATTTTGTGGTTTTGCAGAACTGATGGTTTATGTTGTTAAGTTCAGCGAATTCGTAGGCTAGTTTTCTAAATTGTACTGATGTAATTCCAAATGCTCTAATACTCAGGTCAGTTAGGTAGGTCACAAACTGAGCTTCCTGAGCATCAGAAAACGTTCTTCTGAATCTCCCACCACTAAGAGGAATTGGTTCGTTGTTATTTTGCTTTTTTATATAACGTCTTAATGTTGCTTCCGGGATTCCATGCTCAATACTGGCAGCATTAACTGACTTATGGTCGTGCAAAATAGAGTGCAACGCGGCAATAAGCACGTCTTCTGACCAAGAGCGTCTATCTGTACGGTGTTTATAAGTTCTTACCATCTAAAAACATCAAAAAATGAATTTAACTAATTTTATACACAGTGGGGCAAGTTGACGAATTCGTCATCTTGCCTCCGTCAACTTGCCCCAGGAAACATTTTTTAGAAAACAGCAAAAATTAAATTATTAATTAAGTGAAATTAGGTTGTATCTTACCTTCTAATATTTAAAATGTCCACAATAATCAAGATTAACTATGAAAGGGGCTTCTATTTTTCTTTAAACCTGCGAAATTGCTTATTTTGTGGAGCTGGATGTTTACATCTAACAGGTGTGAAAAGCGGTTATGATTTTTTAAACCCGATGCAAAACCTATAGCTCCATCTATATGTAACCCGACGTATTATACACCTAAAGGAATTTATAGAAAAATAAATGGGATTTTTAGGATGTACAGTTTTCTTTAAATCAGTACTTCGTCATCTTGCCCCGTTCGTCATCATGCCCCGACCTCCCCTACCCTTCTGCGGCGCTGAAAAAGAAGTTACAATATTGGCCACACAAGCGAAGAACATTATCGAAGCAACCCTTTCGTCTACACGGCCGCATTTTTCCGATCCATATGCGTTATCGTTACACGGAGCGCTGCTAATCGTATAGGATTTGTTAAATTATAACCAATGTCGCGTTTCCTATTAGGTCAGCGCACAAAAGTATTATGACTGGATACTTGTGTAATGTTCTGACACGACTGGACACTGGAGTTAGAAGGCTTGCAAATGATTGTGTTAGGCAGGTTAGGCTGCATAGGTTTATTAAAATCCTTCTGCTTTTCTGGCAAAGAATCGGAGTTCAAATCCATATTCATAAAGAAAGATTTGTTAAAGAACTGTAAAGCGCCATGGCGCGGCATGGCATCGGCATGGAGTGTGCGCTGGCCTAATAGGAAACGCGATATGTAGATTATAGTTTAAGTCCTATACGATTAGCGTTCCGTGTAGCAATAACCACATCATAGGGATCGGAAAAATGCTACCCAGCCTGCGTCTACCAGACGGGCTAGACGATCCTCTGAGAGCAGGTCTTCAAAGAAGCACGGTAGCTCCGACTGCTCCGCGAAGGACTTGCTCCAGAGGAAGTAAAAGCGAAAACATTCGAGATTAAATCGTAGATTAAATGATACTTTAGTAGCGAGGATAGGTTAAAAACTTTATTTCTTCTCGCTCGTTTTTTAATTGCTTCCATTTTCGAAAATGTTTGTATTCCTTTTCATAAGTTATTCGGGATTTAAATGGAAGTAGTTTGGATATGGTGTTTGTCGCCTCAGCCTGAACATCTGTTGGTAATTTACTTATTTCGTTTTGAGCCATTTCTGGCTCTCCTTCAATCAGCAATCGACACGAAAGAGAATTAAAAAATATTGACTCAAAACTGACAACTAAAGAGACAGCTTTATTTATTTGTCAAATTACATAGAAACCAACGCCAGCACAATATTTTTTCTACTCGTAATAAATTCCCTGAAATAATAATTTTTGAATATTTTTTAAAACGTAACTCGCTATGGAAAAGAATATTGTTTTATACACGACGATAAAATTGCATTATCGTCTCCCGAAATTAATTTATTCGCGATTTCATCGCTCGTGAATTAATCTTTTCGGTCGACGATAAAATACCGTTTTATCGTTTTGTATAAAAAAATAGCTATATTTAACTCCCGTATTGCATATTATCTGTGATTTAAACATGCTGATTAATGATCTTAACAACCTCATATTTTTGCAGCCTGCGAAAGTATACGAAGAGATCCTAGTAGCGAATAGTGAAAACATGACGTGGGTGGACAAAGTAGGTGCCGAACAGAAACCGGCGGGCGCAGAGGGCGCAGCGGGCGCTGGACCCAACGAAGAGCAGGAGAGAAAGCAATGGTGCGCTCCAGGAACTTTTCTGGATAATCAACCACTGCCACAGGAAGGAATAATATGCTATATGTCTACCTTCAGCGATCAATCCTATCCCTAAATTCACTTACAAAAAAATTTCATGACAAATATTCATAATTATGTCTACTTTATTAAATTTTCTTCTTCGTATTAATTGAATTTTATTATTTACTAGCTGATCCGGCTAACTTTGTACCTCCTAAAGGGCCCCACAGACTTCGTTCTTTTTGTCATTTTTAATCGCCGCGATTAACAACAACGATTAAAATTGATAGTCTGTGGCACAACGCGGATATCATCACCGTCGGTGAAAATTTCTGCCTTTGCTTGAAATCTTAATCGTCGCCGTCGGTTCGTCGTTACTTTTTAATCGGCGGTCTTTCACATTGGTGCACGTGTACAGGGTGGGTCAAATTCGACGCTTTTAAATGGAAACACCCTTTTCTATAGGAGATAAACAAAAACTAATATCGGTGTCTGGAGCTCAATTTTTGTCAAAAACATGATTGTGAAAACCGCATATCGATATCTGTTACCGTTTCGGAGTTACGGGGTGTTTTTCAAAAATATGCATTTTTAACAAATTGCTGTAACTTTTTTGCTATGGGAAATTTTGTATTTTTATGGAAACATTTCCAAAGTACCTTTTTACGTAGAATTTAATGGTTTAAGTATAATTTTTCTAAAATTAATAAGTTAAGAATTATCAACAGAAAATTTGATTTTTTATATGGGACACCCTGTATATTTTTAATTTATTGAAAAGAATTTAAAATTACCTTTCCAAAAATATAACACACTTGATATTTTGCTAGATTCCTCTTCGAGATATAGAGTATATAAAAATTCGCCCGCTTTAAATAAGTAGGCTTTGAACGGCACCGGCTGTAATGCAAAAAAATTCTAGCTGTGAGAATCAATTAAAACGAAAATAATATTTGCTATGAGAGATGCAGAATTTTATAACTATTTAAAATATATTTAACCAACCTCAACACATTTAAACTATATCTAATAACAATAAAAATAAATAGTAAACCAAGACATGAGATTTTGCTACAAGTGTTCGACATATCGACCGTCTTCTGTTATGGACAGACGGGGCAGTTTTTAAACATTTCTCGCGGAACTCATTAACTCAGAGGGGGTGAAAGATACCCTCTCATAACTTCTAAGTATTTCTAATTCTTGTCTAGATTATACGGAAGAATAAGGAACCTTTATTCTTTCGCAAATATATCCATAGGATTAGATCCATGGGCACTAAGTCAGGCGGCCTCGACGGCCAACGGCTGGGATCTTAGCTATTCAAATATTCTTGAAATTGGCTGCAAAAAGTTGCTGATAACTTCAGCGTTCAGAGGCGGTGCGTTGTCTTGCTGGAAAAATATGTTTTCCAGTTCCATTAAGGGTATATATCATCAATAAGGGGTCCAAAGCCTACTAGTTAAAAGTGGCGAACTTTTAAAAATTCTGTATTTCGAAGGGGATTATAACAAAATATCAAGTGTGCTATATTTTTGGAAAGGTAATTTTAAATTCTTTTCAGATAATTAAAAATATAAAGGGTGTCCCAAATAAAAAATCAATTTTTCTGTTGATAACTCTTAAATTATTAGTTTAAAAAAAAATTATACTTAAACCATTAAATTCTACGTAAAAAGGTGCTTAGGAAATGTTTTCATAGAAATACAAAATTTTCCATAGTAAAAACAACAAAACAGCGATTTGTTAAAAATGCACATTTTTAACACAAACCCCTGTAACTCCGAAACGGTAACAGATATTGATGTGCAGTTTTCACCGTCATGTTTTTAATAAAAATTGAGCTCCAGACACCGATATTAGTTTTCGTCTATCTCCTATAGAAAAGGATGTTTCCATTTAAAAGCGTAGAATTTGACCCACCCTGTACATGTTGCATTTATTATTTTTTGTTGTTCCATTCTATTAAATTTGTAACTTTTTCAAAAAAAAAATGATTACGGTATGTAAAAAAAGAGATTTTAATACAATTTATAGAGACGTTGTCTATAGGTTCTTGCCTGGTTATGGAAAATTAAGACTATTGATTACAAAAATCGCGACAAAAAAATAAAGCTCATGAAATTCTACTTAAAAAAATGAAGGAGGTGGATGTGGAAGCTTCTCTACAAAGTGTAAAAAATAAAATAGACTCTTTTCATATCAATTTCCGGAAGGAATTAAACAAGATGAGAGATTCTGGTATCTTTTAAATAACCGATCTTTATCTTTAGCCCACTTTTTTCTCTTTTTCTTCTTTTTTACTTTTAGTGTTGATATCGGTGCCGCCACTGCAAATAAATCGAGGCGTTTCATTTTGTTACTGATTTACACTGACATAGTGTGTGTGCAAATACAATTTTAATTGCCTAGTTCAACAATCGACGATTAACACTGCTAAAAACCAACGAGGTATGTGGCCGCCTTAACATAGAAGTGAAGTAAAGTGAGAGTTTTTTTGGCAGTTTTATAGTATGGATGAATGATTGACCCATTGATCTGGAATGATTGAGACCAATCGATGTGACGGTTCTGTTGTCATTTGTTCTCTATATTTTCAAGAATTTACATACATAGAGGGTGTCAAAAATAGTGTATCTAACCTTGGTGAGTGAATTCTGCTTGCCTTAAAAAATATTTATATTCTTCTTACAGTGCCATACGCTATACAGAGAGTCAGCTACCTCTCGCATGTACCTTTGATGTGTGTCATCAGTATTTCACAAGTACACGGGACTTACAGTTTATCTCCGAATCCGAACGGCACTGTTTGAGAGGCTGTACAAGGCAAATATACTCAAGGTGGTTTGCTATTGCCTTCCTTGAGGTGGCGGCTCGCTGGTCGCTCTATTTAGATAGATAAATATTTTTATTTAAATAAGTAAAGCGACCGTACTGGCTGAGGATCGAACCCAGTACCATCCCATCTCTCGCACCCATAGACTTAAAATAAAGTATAGACTGAGCATCTCATTCATAAATAGCTGGAACATGCGGTCAGGCACTGTCTTGTTATTGTTGTGTTATTGTTTTGGGTTATAACGAGTGCGACACGAGCGATAGATAGGTTGTCTCTGTCGTAACGGTCGTTCCCTGACGACTCTGCCGAGAAACACAACACTGTCTTTCGTTTCTCAAGTACACCTGAACTCTCCGTATCACAGCCGGGTAATTTTTTTATTTTAATGAAGCTATAATTAAATTAAAAATATATCGTGATATGTAACTTTTTATATTTTATTAAAAGATTTAGGACAGGTTTTTAAATAAAAGTTTAGAAAAAACAATTTAGGTCCAAAAAAGGATAAAAATAATAAAATACACGTTATAGAAGAAAGAAATTTTATAATCGAAATTAGGTAATTTTTGAAATTAATAATAAATTATTAATTTTAGTCAAACATTACAACCCCTAATATTAATCCAAACAGGATCTATTCCACAGATATAGAATCGGCGACAGGGAGAGGAAAAAAATATGATTGTTGTAATTTTTTCTGGTTAAATGATGTCTTATTATGTAAATTAGAGGAAACATAAATCTGTTCCATTAAAGCAAGGAAGGTGATAGGAAGTGGATAAAATAAAAACTACATTTATTTAACTCAGTACTGTCTTTATTATACCGGGTGCGCTCAAAGTAGCTCATCTCCATATTTTTTATATTTTCAAATAAAAAAAACAAGATTTAATATGTTAGTATGGAAATAAATTAGGATTGATTGACGCATTCAATTGTTTTGGTCACTTCCTGTCACCGGAAATGACTATAACTTTTAATTTTAAACGGCACCCTCGGTATATTTCTACTTTATTCGATAGAAAATGACACTCTGAATAGAGAATGACATATCATATGTCAACTTTTTGACATTTTCGCATATGGTTAGTCATGTAATGGTAACGCACTTGGAGTTCATAACGACAAATTTGACTCGAAATACCAAAGTCTGTGGTATACCAATATATTCATAAAAAATGCTTTTTCCAAATATGCTAATGAGTCACCCTTGTTCCATTTGAAAAAAATTGACATATGTGATTAAAAATACGATTTGTACATCTTTAACCGGCCTAGACAAGACACGAAACCTATTAGACGACCAAACTATTTTCCAAGGCTCCTTGATTAAAACTTCGTGGATTGAAAAAAACTGGATTGAAATTTAAAATAGGATATGTTTTTAAGCGACAATGTCAAAAGATTGACATATGATATGTCATTCTATTCAAGTGTCATTTTTATCGAATAAAGTAGCAATATACCGAGGGTGCCATCAAAAGTTGTCATTTCGGGGAGGTGAAACAGGAAGAGACAAGCTAATTGATCATAAATCTAATTTATATCATACAAATCTGTTTTTATCTGAAAAATAAAAAGTTATAGGGATGAGGCACTTTGGTTTGACCCGGCCTGTCATCAGCTTGTTTCATAATGTAATATCATTTTAAAATTCTTGTATGTTATTTTAGATTCTGAAGATAATTTTAGAATAAACCGGAATATATTTTTAATAAAAACATTATTAATTATTAACAGGGTTATAATTATGATTTTGTTACTATGTAGTAAGTAAATAATGTAATGTAAAAGAAAAAAATTCAGATTTACATTTTTACTAAAATATTATCTAAATAAGCACCTTTCTACAACAACGCCATTGACTGCCAATGGGTAAATTGGGAGTTGCCTACCGGTCAAAGTCGTTTCAAGACTTAAGTGGATTGTTTAAGTCAAATTTTTTACAAATTTGGCACTGGCGAACCATATTTTATAGTTTTTGAACAGAAAAGTCAATAAAATAAACGCTTAAGGACTACAAGCTAGAAAATGCGTTAATACAGCCGGGGAGATGGCGGCAACAAGCTTTACCGCACACGTGCGACACGTACTACAAGGTAATAAATGAATGAATAGGCTCCCTCGCCTCTAATCGGTGTTGTCATATTGTAAGAACTTATCCTTATTAAACAGTATCCGACTTATAATTTAGTAGTATAAGGACTATTTAATACATCTATGGAATATTAAAACCTACTTTATTAACATAGATAAATAATATCTCAATATATGTGTATAACAAGAAAAAAAAATATTGATAATATTAAAGACATGACAACATAGGCTGG